TACATTTTTCCCACTCATAATAGCTCCAAACGGGGGCGTCTGGCCTCAGTGGTTTAGGCATTGAGACAGTGCTAATCACTTTAAGATAAACACGTCCGCGGTTCGAATCCAGCGTCCCTGCATTCGACCCGATCTGCTTACAAATTTTTTTTTTCAAAAACACCGACACCCCGAGAGTGACCCCTGCTTTAGCAAACCCTCTTAAAAAATAATTAATTAAACATTAAAACGTTGTTGACAAGCCGTAAAATAAAATAAGTGTAGCATTCAAATAACTCTCGTAATGTTGGATGAGGATAAAATCCAGAAAGGATATTAATTTTTAAGTGGAACAATGGGCATATCACAAGATTAAAGGGCAGAGGATGTTCCAGCCTTAAAAATATTTTGAATGGTGAATTGAAAGAATCCGAATTGTTTAACAAAAACAATTTTATTTGGCCTACTGTCTCGAAAGCGTTTTTTTGTTGTATTGTCATCCTACGTAAAAATACATATTTAGTTATAAATAAAAATTATGAAATACGTGCTTAAAATAATTTTTCTCGGCTCCTAGGTCCCATCGGCAAGAACGATTGGACGAGGTTCTAATATTTTTCGACCTTGTATAACCAAAGAAAGTTTAATTGAAACCGGTAACCCCATGTTCGTAGCCACCCATTGTAAATAAAAATTTGTAATTTCATGTCATATTCAGTGATCCGTGTTGGTTTTTCAACATGTTTTTTTTTCGATACTCACCTTAGCATTTCACAATTAAAATAATAGTAAATTTATAAATTAATTCGTTGTTTTGCATATATAAATTGCAGAACACTAATGCGGCGCACAGTTCAATAATTTTGCATGACCTGCCGGTCTTGTTGGTTTAGCATACTCTCAAAGCCGTGAAAATGAGAAGAATTGTTTTGTTTTTTTAACCGTGAGTTAAACCATTTAAACAACAATCAAACGAAACACATTTAAAATGTTTGTCAACAGAGGATGGGAGCCTCTGGCGTAGGACTAAACCTACCATGTGTCATAGCGTGGTCTCAGCTACTTTCAGAAATGATGATGGAACTTGGATCGTTTCAGATGAAGCCCAAAACATTTGCGAAATATCTCTCCGATGTATTCAAACCTCATAACTTAATTGATACTGAACACGATAAAACTTATGGCACATATACATCTAGATAACCAATAACTCCAAAACAAGTATCCCAAGAAATACGACAGCTTCCTAAAAAAATCCCCTGGTCATGATTTGTTAACAGCTGAGGTTCTTCAAGAACTTCCCAAAAAAGCCGTCGTCTTTCTGACTTCTTTATTTAACGCAATTTTGAATACTGAACACTTTCCCAATCGATGAAAACTTCCTTATATTAAAATGATCTCAAAGCCCCATAAAAATTTAAGCTCTCCATCATCTGATCGTCCTATTAGTTTGTTACCCGTTCCTTCTAAATTATTCGAAAAATTAATTTACAAAAGAATTATCTCTATTGCTACGTCAAACAACATCTTACGAGACCATCAATTTGACTTTCGAACCCATCATTACACCACTCATGAACTTCACAGAGTTACAGATTTCATTACTTCGTATCTCGAGCAGAAACTTTACGCGACAGGAGTGTTTGTAGATGTTTCTCCCGCCTTCCACAAAGTAGGGATTATTATACTAATTAAAATTATTTTTACCCCAGATTTATTATCTGACTATACAGTCATACCATAAAGTGAGATTTTTCATAGTAAACCAGAGTACGGAGACCTCTGGGATGGAACTGTTCCCGAGTCAACAAGACGAGAGGATCCTTAGCGTCCGCACCTGGCACATGGCCCTCGGACGTTTTGATTCTCAAGATGAGAGCTGACGCACTTCTGCATAAGACGGAATGGTGTTACCGCCGCAGCATTGGTAAAGAGGTTTCCCAGCCCCTAAGGGCCAGTAGCCACGCTCTCCGCTTGTACACTCCGAATGGTCGGGCCCGCATTGTGCATCGGGTCGTATGCCGCACGCCAGGGGCTAACAGGCCGAAATACATCGGCCCGTCCCCCGCCCGCATACTCCCTAGATAGAGAAGGCCACTCTATCTCTCTGGCTCCCCCAACGTAGAAACTTCCGGGAACGCCCCGGCAGCGGTTTAGTTTAAAGTGGAATTGCTAACCACCTCCTAGATGAGCACCGCCTACGGTAAAGTCTCTTATCGAGCTCAGCCTACACCTGTCACGCGCATTCGAGGGATGCCATAGGCTCAGCCTAGGTGGTCCGATCCTTCGCTTCCCCAAGGGTACCACGCCGGTCATTCGCACAACAATGCAAAGCATACTCGTCAGAAACCGCCGATACCACTACCCTTTTCCAGTCGCTTACTCACGCATTCGAGGGACTGTAGCATGATCATTGCGTCCTCAACGCTTACAAGCTGTCGTCCAGTCGCAACGTCTCCCGTGAGGCCGGGGGTAATTACGCTGGCCATACGCAAGCTTCACTGAGGTCACAGATAGAAGACAGCCTCTGTCCAAGTTCCCGCCAGGGGCGTCACCACGCACCACCACGAATATATTCCCACTTCTGGGATGGAACTGTTTGCAGGTGTGCCACAAGGGTCAATACTCGCACCGCTGTTGTACACAATTTTTACTTCTAATATGCCCACAAACGCACTTACCGCCACATGCGCAGATGACGGAGCCATCCAAGTCATCCCTGTTCTACACAAAACCACATATCAACAATTGAAAAATGGAGCAATCTTTGGAAAATCAAGTTTAACCCCTCAAAGTCATAGCATATCACCTTTGCACTCCGTCGTGAGACTTGTCCATTTACTTACTATTTAGGACTTACATTTGATAGAGGTCTAACTTGGAATCCACTCACACGATTAAAAAACAGACACTCAACAAACAATTTAAAATTCTTTATTACCTACTCAACCGACAATCAAAATTACCATTACAATCAAAACTTTCAACATACACGTACCTACTCGTGGCCAATACTGAAATAGTAAGGCCAAAATCAAAAAACAAATACCTACTCAAACCTATTTGGATATACGGGTGAGAAGTTTATGGATTGGCCAAATATTCCAATATTCAAAGATTACAGAGTTTTCAATCCAAAATTTTTAGATTAATTGTACCAGCCCCTTTTTTTCATAAAGAATGACTCACTTTATAGGGATCATCACATGCCAACAGTGTTTTTCATCCATCAAAACATGTTACAGGCGTTTTCATAGTAGATTACAAAATCACTCTAACACAAATGCGACTACTCCATTCCCCACAATCACCACGTAAACATCATAAAAGAATATGGATGAAATACCTCTTAAATGATTAATATAATTTTATTAATCCAGAGCGGCTGCCAATGGGTAATTTTCTCTTTAACGCCCGTAATGCCACAAACAATTAATTATCCAATCAGCGATTTTGTGAGATTTTAAAGAATTTTATGTATTTTATAGATTAAATATCAAACAAATCCATTATCGAGGTTTAAAGCTGAAACGCATCTGACAGAAAAAAACAGGGATAGGCAGAAATTACATATATTATTATTTTTAAAAAAAGCTGCAAGTTAATCATTTTTGCCAATTTAGCCAGTTTACTTACACAAAACATTACTTGCCTAGTCTGTTTTGAATTTTAAGCTTGAATTTTACAATTACATTTTCTTTCACAGATGGTTGGGATCATCATATCAGATTTTTGAATATCAAACTACTCCATATGAAAACGTTATGGTCTGTTAAATATTGCTTGCAAAAATACAGCCTAGTCGGCCATTAAAGATTTTTTTATCTCCTGTCTACAAGTATAATCGGGCAATATTTCACGATCGGAAATAAAGATTGGGGATGAAATACCGCGGGGCTTCGACGTGCTTCTTTTCCACTCGCGCTCGCCCGCGACCTAGAAAACAAAAATACCCTCCTTTCTCAGCGGAGGTGAAAATGAAAAACATACGGCCGTCGAAAAGCCATAAAGCGCAAGATTAAGTCGAGAGGCACGTTTTTAATTAATTTTCAACCCGGGCCTTTTGCACGGTCGACCTGCAAACTTTCGTCGAATTACTTACAAGTTGGGGGAAAAAAAGGAAAAGGAAAAGCTGTATACAACGAAAAAAACACATTTTCCCATCTCACGGTATTATAAAAACATTAGAAATGTTTCCATCAGCTTGTTAAGAAATTTTATAACATTGAATGAGTTTTTTTTATTTAGAAATTTCATTGCTTTTTTATTTAGAAAAAACATTTTATTTTACTCCACAAAACATCTTCCGCCATATTTACTTACCTATCACTCAGAATTTTAATTTGTCGAAGAATATTTTGATTTGAAAAAATATTAAATATTAATGCTAGAATGAGACAGTGATACGTTAAATTTCTGTGTATATGACAATATATAAAATGCAAACGTTAACTCAAAAATATAAAATAAGGAAGTTTGATAAACGAAACAACACTATTAAAAACTTATTAAATTCATTAGATTTCATGGTCCGATTGACCAAATAACATCTTTCAATTAATTAATCTTTATGTAAGGTATTGGATGAGATAAAACAGTCAGTGTTATTGAAATGATTATTAATTATTATTAAAAAGGTTTGCCGATTATTTAATCACCGAACCTGCTTTTTACACATTACATTGACGTGTCGAACAAAAGTTGGGCGGGAAAATATTAGGCGAGGGCTCTCCGTATTATTTTAGCTTAGCTGCTTAAAGAGATATTTGATTAAATATAAAGTAATTTCATTAAATTTGTTCCTTTCAAGAGGATCCATTTTAGAAATTAACAACTGGAGGTAATTCAATTAAAAGTTGCCCTTCGGGTTGGAGGAAGATGGCTAGCGCGGTTGAATTATACAGGCTTACGTAATTGGATGTCTCTTACAGCCTTGCGGTTTTGTTCTCACGTAATACGCTAGTAATTTAAGATAGCGAGTCAAAAACTTTCACCAGCGATTAATTTAAAACCCTTTTCAGATAAGAGACCCGGTCGACGAGACGAAGTGCATAGTCTGCGATCTGGGCAAGATCCCAGATTCGACTCACCAGAAATGCCTGGATATCCCTGAGGAATTCTTGAAGGCGGATTCACCTTGGGCAATCGGGGCGATGACTTTCTCGGCGACTATGATCGTCGTCACTCTGCTGATATTTGCGGTTTTCCTGAGGCACAACGATACTCCGGTCGTCAAAGCGGCAGGGCGAGAGCTGACCTACGTCCTCCTCACAGGCATTCTGCTGTGTTTCCTCATGACTTTCATACTAGTCCTCAAACCGACAGACGTCGTCTGCGCTTTCCAAAGGTAACGACGTTTTACACATAATTGATAGTTTTATCATATCATAATAATATATTTAAGAACGCTATGCTCAAAGATTGCGGAGTCGCATTAGACCCGCAGTGGTTCTGGATTTGACTCTCGGCATAGCCCAAAAAATTGTAATTAAAATTAATTTGAAAACAGCATTGACCATTCGTCTACAACGCTCAACTTAAGTCTTCCTGCATAGAAAGTATAATTATACAGCATTTATTGAACAAATTAATACAATACCTAGCCCTCTACCTCCTGGCATCTCATGCAGATGAAACAGCGTATTTTCCTGATTCTGCAACGGAACAGCTCCAGGCACACGTCAAACGAATGGAGCAAACTTTAGAGGTTATAGATTAACAAATGAATTAGATTTAGAAAACAAATGCATCTATGTTCCAATTACCCTCTGAAGCAGAACCCCTCACACAATATTTCTCTCGTCCTCTATTGTAGATTTCGGAGCCATTCTGAGATGGAGGATTCTGTGTTTTGTTTTTTTGTTCTTTGTTATTACAAGAATAGGTTTACAACCTATATATCGTCTTGCACTTCCACCTCTGACCAGTGTGTCTACCTTTCCGGTACACAAACTTCCTGTGTATCCAAGATACCATCAGGTTGTTGTGTTTCCCGAGGTTTTGGAGATTTTGAATGCCTTCACTGACTATTTAAATGTGATGTTTTACATGCTAATGCTGTAATAGTTTTTTAGCTATCCGATCTTATGTGTATTTTTTTGTCATTATAATCTTTTAAAGAATTTCTAATGCATAGCCGTTGATGGATCCCATCCGTCACATCGAGTTTTTATCTCAAAAAATATGCCTATCTTGATTCCCTTAGTTGCCAAAGAGCCAGTGTAAAATAAAGGCTTTGGTTACCACCATTGTGGAATCCTTAGTGTAGAAAAACTTCATGTACGTAGTTTAAAGTTTATATCATATATGTCATTAATATCATATATATATAAATTCTCAAAAATTGATAGGAATATTTGGAATTTATTTGTATTCTATTAATTTTAATTAGTTTAACCGATATGTTCTAGTTAGTAGAATAAAACTAAAAAACATTACTTAAGAATAGTAAACATGAAGATTACTCATTTTGTAAACCATCATCATTACTCGTCTTTTCACAACTTTAATCCAGTTTACATGAATTTTGTAATATCAGCGATTATCGGAGATCGTGAGATGCGGTGTGGTGTTACGAAGATTTTAGAAAAACATTTTTTTTATCGTGCCAACGTTTCGATCTTTATTGAGATCATCTTCCGATCTGGGATTTATAAACGTTGTTTGTATTTTACAAAAAAATGAACTTATACAATGCTAAAAATTTAGATTTAAAAAAAGTAATTAAAATTAATTTATACAATGCTAGAAAATTTTAGATTTCAAAAAATGAATTTATACAATGGTAGAAAATTTTAGATTCAATCAAAGTACTACTCGGAAAACCAACACTGAGTGAGTACAAATACTTTGATTAAATCTAAAATTTTCTAGCATTGTATAAATTCTTTTTTATTCTAAAATTTTCAAGCATTGTACAAATTCATTTTTATCTACAATTTTCTAGCGTTCTATAAATTCATTTTTTCACAATCTACATGTATTTTGTAAAATTTAAACAATGTTTATAAATCCCAGGCCCTGAAGATGATCTCAATAAAGATCGATACGTTGGCACGATAAAGAAAATGTTTTTCTAAAACGTACGTCACACCAGACCGCATCTCACGATTTCTAAATAAGTATCGATTAACGGTCACTGAACACCACATACACACACACACACACACACACACACACACACACTGTAATATCAGCATTGAAAGATTAGTTTTATTGGGACTGTCTCGCATTTTTACTAGTACTCTAGCGGTTCTGGGTTTGAATCCCGACATAGCGCCTAAAATTTTTATTTGAGATTAATTTGTAAAGTGACCCTGACCCCTCATCCGCGACACTCAAGGGGTAGTTAGACGTTGTGACCTCCATATTTTTATTTATATACTCTTTATTATGTTCAATATAAACACATTTATTTTATGATAAAATTAAATACAAATTTCGTCTTTTTCGGTTAAACCTGACGCAAAAGCGTTTAATCAGTTGTAAACTTATTTCTTATATTTTATGTATTTTATAAGTCTCGTTCTAACAAATAGGCAATAAATATTTCAAAAGACTTTTAAACTCGAGTAATAATACGAAACGGGTAAATAATAACTCCCTTGTGGATACACTTTTTAAAACAACGATTATGCTAATGTTATGCTAAAGAGGTTTGGAAAGACACAACATGAAGTACATAAATTGCGTATAGGCTGAGAGAGTCGGGCCCTCTTCCCCGGGGTTGACGAACAATCCAGATGTTTATCATTGTCATGTCTTTGTTTCGTGAATGTAATGCAAATATGATTTTCTTCCTTGTTATTGTTTAATTTGAATTTGTTATTTTAAAGAGTTTCCATCAAAATGACGTACTCTTTTTATAAGAATAACCGAATATTTCAGTTACCAATATTGTGTAATAACATATCACGAACGCTAGGTTTAAATCAAACTTTTTTAATATTTATAATATTTTTTAGTTTGTCTAAAATGTAGAGTGAGAGGTTGGTGGTAGACAAAGTATACTCATCCAATCATCTCAAAATCCGATCACCTTAAAACGTAGAATTCCCTGTAAATTATAGTTTAAACTAATAGCTTTAACTGGTCATTTTCTCTTTTATTTATATCTAAATGTAGATAACAAATAGTTCTAATGTTTGGATTTTTTAAAAATAAATTTTAAATCTATTTTATAAATTGCTCAAAATGAATAGGGGTTTTTGTCATTTATTCATATTGTATGAGTTTTAATTAAGTTGTACTGATGTACTTTTGTTAGTACAGTAAAACAAAATGCAAAATGGAGTTGTGCTATAATGCATTAGCCCTCCACTAACACCAGATCTTAAGTCAAACATTATCCATTGCATCCATTCACCCATTAGAAAGCCAGGTCCAAACTGGAAATATGGCATAACGCTTGAAAATTAATAAATGGGATACAAAAAATATTAATAGATAAAAGACCAGAGAGCAATGTCGGTGAGAGGAGAATTAAAATTTATGCTTTACAACTCCAGAGGCATTTATATATCGGCGAGGAAAAAATTGGAATTATGAAAAGTGTGTGCTTCAAAATTGCGTTTGTTACTTTCCGGCTATCGTTTATGAATATATATTTGTTCAATTGAAAACCGTATCTGCTGAGAATTGTAGTTAGAAGGCCGAATAAAAGCACAATTCGAAAGAGGAAAATTAGAAATACCTCAGAATTTATTGACAAGCAAAAACACACATAAACTGTACTCAAATCACCATTTTTATGTTTGTAATTCATTACATTGCTTTTACGTTCGCTGAAAGAAGGAATTATCGAGTTAAAGTTTGTTGGCTTGAGTAGAAGGTTTCTTGGGAAAGAAAATAAGCAATTCCGTTAGGGTACCTTCACAACTTCACTTAAACTGAATTCTCCCAAAACAAACAGTTTGCATTGGTTGAGGGCGATCGTTCACCTTGTTGCCTTACTTTTGGAACAAAAAACCACTTCACTTCATTTTCCTTCCCATAAAATAATCAATCCAGTCACAGTAGACAAATACGATTAGAAACAACAATAAAAAATACGTCATAAATCCAAAATTTATTTTGTAACATTTTATTACATTTGACTGAGTTTTTAGTTTATTTTCTCTCTTATGCCTGTAAATTGTTGATAATACTTTTGTAATTATTTATAAAAATGCACACTGTCAAAACTAACAATATAGTAGACAATGTACATTAAACAACACAACAAGCAAAAGATCGACAAATCCACACATTGAAAAAGAGAGACCAAAAATTAGAGAAAGAGAGAATGGCAAACAAGCAAAACACACATATCATAAATAAACTGAACCACAGAATAATAGCTCTGGTTCGTATCTAATAGCCGTTTTGTTCCCAGTTGGTTACAAAGAAGACAAGGCTTATTTATTTTTGTTAATCATTAGCTTCGAAATCCCAAGTTAATAGGCGTGCACTTTAAGGGAGGAAAAACGTCAGACCTTATTAAAGCCTTGTGTTATAAACAACCGGAAATTAACTTAAACGGCCGTTGATGAATTAAAAATACCCGTCGGTTTAATGAGCGGTACTATTTGGACCGCAATCACCCTCCGGCCACTCGAAACTCGCTTCGTGCAACTTTAAACCTTTGTTGGAGAAGGCCGATGTCTGGTTCAACGCTCTCCAGGATGAAGTTGTTTAAGCCGCAAAGATTTCGTTCATTCCTGTAAATCCAGGCTTTGATGGCTAATCTAACCACGATCAGAACTTTATTACATAAATTAACATTATTGAATATTAATCATTATTAAATTTGTCTTTTAAAAAATAAAATTTCTAGAATTTTTTAAAAGTTTATTTGTTACCTATACATGGCAGTATACTATACAAATATATACACTTGATTAATATAATTAATATATCCCACAGCACAACACTAGCACTAATGCCAGCACTGCACCGGTAGAAATCATGCTTTGAGGAGCCAGCCATTGCTGGTACTCAGTGTGTATGATTAGGATTCAAGGTTCCGAGGCCATCGTCGGTTGAGGCGACGTGGTGGGTTGTCAGGATGGGAATGAGTGGAGAGGACTCGAGCAGTATGGTTAGGATGTTTAGAAAGGTTGGTATGGAATGTTTGGAATCTAGACCGGATTAGTTTCTTTGACAAAAGGAATGTTGAGGTCTTTATATAGATAGATAGTTAAAGAGACTTTAGAGAGCTAGGTTAGAGACATAATAACGTGTTTTGACAATTTGTCTAAGGACTATCGATTGGAAGGACGGAATGCGCTGGATATTGGAAAGCTTGGCAATACCACACAGTTCGACTCCGTATGTCCATATTGTCCTTAATAACGTCTTGTACAGTGT